GATACAAAACCACGAGACTGGAGACACCCCGAACCAAAAAGAAGTGCTTGGCATCGGTCGCCTCCACAGGAGGCCTTGAGGTCGAGAGCTTTGTTTCCTCAGTGCCTGTACTGTCCCTTGGCTCAGTGACACAGCCTAATATCAAAACTTGAACCTTTTTGAGCTTGATGATTGTTGACCAAGAATTGCCCAGTCCCCCGTGCCTTCGAAGAGGAATCATCACCTTCCGAATACATTGTAGAACTGGAAAGAGAGACAGGGAGATCGACTTTGCTGAGTTGTGGAAATTCAGAAACAAATCTCCTCAAGCCTCGCTAAGGTCTCGGCTAACATCGCGAGAGACCTACTACTGCCAAATCTGCTTGGGCAACTGCCCAGCATCGGTTGCGTGCCTAATATTTGTCAGTTGAGTCAAGTATCAAATGTTTGCAGAACAGCCCGGGTGGTGTGAAAGGCTGACGACCGAGCAAGTTTTACTAAAATTCTCGTGCCATGAGTTCCCCTTTTCCACTTGCAGTTGCAGTATACGTTCTACCAATGCAATGCAGCTGCAAGTCTCTACTTTTTCCCTTTCTCTTTCTCTTTTTCTTACTCTGTTTCTTTGTTTGTTTCTTTATATAGATATATATATATATATATATATTTGTTTCTTTCTGATTTCTTTCTTTTCTATTTTCTCTCTCTCTCTCTTTTTCAGTCCTATTAGTGACCTCCATCGCCAGAGTCGCCGGTCTGAGGATGGCTTCCAGCTCTCCAGTTGTGGACACATTTTTTGCAGCCACTGCCTGCAAAGTGCGAAGCTCATGGGAATTTGTCACCCTTTTGTAGTCCAGAATTCATGGAGGATATAGTTTGCAAGCACTACTGGAGCTTTCAGACATTTCTGTGCCTCTGCTACTTTGTGTGAGCAAGTCCTTCGCAATACTTTCACCCGCGATGCAACTACCCATAGCAGAGATTATATATGGGCAGGAAAAGTCTGACTGATCTGGGTACAAGTTTGACAGGTGGGCTCCGGACTTCATTACATGCACAATGTGAGCTTAAACCTACTAGAGCTGGCCACAACATTCTCAGTGGGCACATGATATTGCAGGCCAAGCAAGTGAATATCATGAGGGGGCGGCCAATCTTGAGATCAAGCTGCCAACGATAGCAGCAACCGTGCTCGGCCCCGTGAGTGTTGTGATTGAAGGCTATGTGGAGAAGCGATTGCCCGAGGCGAGTTGAAGTTGGAGCAGTCAATTCGCTGGCAAACGTGCAAGACCAAATATGTTGTCCTATCATGAGGCAGGCTTTTTGTGAACTCAGCCATTTTGTGGATGGAAAGCCCGTGCTGCACTACCCCTTTCTGAATGGACGATCTCTTGGAGAGAGCGCCAGCTTTTTAGAGGCAGCACTGTTTGGGCTGCTTTGCCCATTTTTGCCATCCGTGGATCATCCTTCCAGAGGTGGGACGCGATTGCTGAGCCAAGCATTGTCGCAGATGATGTTTGTGCAGGGGTCAATGATTGCCATGCTTGGCATTGTGGACACTCTGATTGTGCGAGCAGCATTTCTTGTGTTTCAACATGTCGGAACCACTAACCTGCCCATGACAGGGCTGGACAGCGGCTGCGCAATTGAGATCAAAGATAGCGAGGCTCAAGTTCTTGTGCCGAGCAGTTTTGTAAGTTTCGTAGATGCATGGACTCTGTTATGGCTCCACATATGTAGGTGTCACTGTCTGTGATGTACCTCATGTCCGTCACATTGCTTGTTGCAAGATCAGATCCTTGCAGTCTTGTGTTGGGCAGTGCTCATAAAGTCACAGACTCTGCACGTTGTGGAAAATGCTCACCATTTCAAAATTTTGTTTTGTAGATTGCCATCCTCCAGAAGAACGGATCTGGATTGAGCATGCATGCAGAATATGGATAAGCCACGTTTTGCTAGCTACTTATTGTAAAAAACTTTTGGATTTGTGAAAAAAACTATGCGGCAGAGATGGCAACTTGTGCAGGTTCAAACTCTCTGTGGTGAGGCGACCTTGCAGCAGTTGCAGCGCTTCAGGCTGGGTCCATAGCTGGGTATTCCATATGTTGGACGAGACGACAAGCATCCCGATGCTGGTGCTGGTCAGATGCATCAGTCGCTACATAGCTGATGCCTGTTTGACTGAAGAGCTAACACACAGGAGAGACGCCACAGGTTTCTCAGACAGGTCGCATTTTTTCATGCAAAACGGGTCCCCTGGCTCCAGAGGGTTACGATGGGTCAAAACGGGTCGCTTGTGCAGGACGATGCGTCAAGATGAGACCTATAGGGAGTGTCCTTCATGTCAAGCTCAAGTTCTTGGTGGAAGCTCACGAAGCCCAGTGTTGACCTGCGGAGAATGTCTCTTGGAGACAGAGACCGTGAAGCACGTGTGAAGCATGTGTCAAGCATGTGTGGAGCATGAGTGAAGCACAGAGCAGTTTCTTTTTATTCACAGCGCATTCGGAGCTACGCACATTTGAGAAAGTGTTCAATCTTGAATTGAATCTGGTCGCTAAAAGCCTTGTCTTTGGCCAAGGTTCCCTGGTTTTTTGCTTCGTGCATGCCAATGCGCATCCAGGCATTACCAATGTTCTGTCATTTGGGAACTAGCCAGTAAGTGTTGTGAGCGGAGTTCTTTTGCTTTTCTGACTTGATAATTATATATACATATACATATGTATATATATGTATATGATTGTATAAGTAATATGTATATGTGTATGTCAACATGTGGTTGGAGCTTGCTTCGTGTGCAGGCCAGTCTTGCTGGCAGTTTGACATGGCCCAACGCTTGTCACAGCTTCGCGCCAATGTGCATTTGGCGCATGTGAGCCGCAACTGTCCCGGCTGTAGCATGAAAATCATCAAGGACCACCAGGAAGTTCATAGATGAAAGTCTCGTCTTAGACAAAGTACTGACTGTAATTGATCGTGTACTGCAATTGTCTAAAAGGTTTTGGCAATTTCTACTTGGATTCGACATGAGGCTCTGGAATTTTGACGCAGGATGGAGGATGCAACCACATGACCTGTGCGTACTGTGGAGAGCACTTCTGTTGGCTTTGTGGAAGACATCTTACAGGCAAAACGGACACCTGACATCCATGTAAATTGGACCCGAGACGAGAAGTCTGCAACAGGGCCTCACTTGAGGTGTGAGGTCTTGAATGGAACCAAACCCTAATCAAAATGCAAGGACCCTACTAGGGGCTCCTGACATCGCTACTAGGAGCAAGGACGCTACTAGGGGCTCCTGGCCTTACTACTAGGAAAAAGGTTTGCTATTAGAAACAAGAATTCAATATAATTAGAACTAAGATTAAACTAAAGATTAAGTAGACTGTAATTGGAATTGGAACAAGACATCACACCTCCAAAATGCATTCTCTTTGCTTCTCTTTACCACCTCTGCTAGGCTTTGATGTGCCTTTCTGGTATGAAACACTCCCAAACGTTGCTGCAGGTGCAGGTGCGGTGCAGCGCCACTTTGCGAGTTGGAATGTTTGTGGTTGTCCTGGGCTCCAGATGCAGGACACCCCTGTCAGCAGGATCCTTTTGTTCTCGAGGATTTTTTCTCATGGGCCACAATTTCTTGCTGCTGTCCTTGCGGAAAGAGAGTTTTGGGCAGTTTTGCAGCATATGATGCGAGCAGTCAATCGGTCAGATGCCATAGTTTTGCAGAACGACTGGTCGTGCGTGACTGCGAGGAAAGCTTGGGGAGATGCCCCACGTACTGCTTGACACCATTCATGTGCTGCTTGCGGCAGCTCGACATCGATTTGGGGCGAAGATGGACGACAGGAACACACCGATTTTGGCTGTTTTGGGACATCAATGGGGACATGGGATGACATGGGGGACACTGGAGCAGTGCTCGACACTCAAAGATGCGACGGTCCGAGATTGGAGTTCCTTTTTTTCAGACGCCCTGAGCATTTTCTCACGCCACCTGAGGATTTTCATTCCTCTTCTGAATCTCCTCATGCTCGTGATCTTGGGCTTCGCCTGGATCTGCTGGCCCTTCTTGTGGCTGGACTCTTGGCCTGCACAAGTTGACATGAAGGAAGAAGCTTCGCTGCCTCAATGACTAAGAGGCCAAAAAGAAGTCTTGTTCCAAGGGCCAGACATTTGGTGGGTTTGGTTTGGGCGCCTCCGATTTTGATATTGCTATGCTTGACCACCTACAATCAAGCATGTGAGACCGTTCAAGTCAGCGCGGACAAAGCTTCACTAGAGTCCAGAATATCCAGCTAACTCTTTAGTTGTAGCCTGAAGGTCATATGTGTTGCTCACACCACGAATTGGGCTGGAGGCCTTTGTGTGAAGAACATGAGCGTCCTCAAAGAACATGTTCTAAAACCATTAAAGTAATTTGGAAGTTCCCAGATCCCGTGCTTGAGGTGTATTTGATGCTTCTGAGCCCCTGGTCCTTGGTCTACTGCCTGCTTCGCTGTTGTGGCTTTGACCCTCCTTGTCACCCTGGAAGGCTCGGCTCGGGTTCAGAATCGGTGGCACATTGCTTCCTTGTTCACTTTTCTTTCGCTCCGCCGGAGGGCATTGATGGAATTCTGGAACTTGGTTTGCCAACAACAGTGCGAGTCTGACTCTTGACAGCCTTAGCTGATGTGCACAAATCTCTTTGTTCCCTGTTCAAAGGTTTTTCTCAAGTGCGCATGCGCCAAGGATTGCTGCGATAGTGACTAGGTGCTCGTTTGTGCAGTGACCACGTAGTTCGCGGGTGTCGTGCCAAAGGGCCGAAGATGTGAAGAGACATCCTGCGTCGAACGGAGGTTTTCACATGCAAGACATGTGGAGAGGGTGGCTGGTGCAGAGCCGACCCTTGATTGCCACCCTGATTGGAAAAAGAGTGTGGAGACGAAAGACTGTTAGGCTACCGTTAGGCATCCTGGTTCTTTGCAATAAAGGATGATACAATCAACCAAAGGGGATCTGTGCAGACCGTGAGCGTGGCCATTCCTCAGGTTGCAACAAGAGGTTGCAGCGATGGGATCAAAGATCGCAGATCTCTTGAAAGGACCCCATCTGAGACGGCAGAAATTTTTGAAGCCACAAATGTGGCAGGCAGTTCAAAGTGCAAGACCTGAATGATAGAATGCTTGGACATTTGCCTGTGCTGCACAGGATGGATGGCCTCTATTTTTGCAGTTTCAGTTTCTCGATGCCACATGTTGGGTAAACGGGGGGTTGGCCCCGAACGCAACATACCGTGGGTGAAAAACCCTGTGTTCTATATATAGGGGTTTGTGGCTTTCCGGACACTCAACTTATCGTCTTGCAACTCATGAGTTGCAAGACGATAAATTGAATGCGTGTTGACGGACCCAACCCACCCGCCTGCTCCGTGTACAGCTTGCCAAGGCTCATTTTGCAGCCGCCAGACATCAGTCTTGTTCCCAATTGAGCCAATTGAGCTCACTGTACATTTGAGCTGGAGGACAAGTGTCTTGCACAGCTTCTTTATGTATTCTGACAGCCTCGAGCATTGAGTCCAACCCTGGATGTTGGCTGAACCACAACGCTGCGAGGCCTTCAACGTGCTGTCGTTGCAGCTTTGCATCGCAGCGGCCAAGAAGACCCATTCTACGCAGTGATTTCTTGATCACTGCTGCCAAGCTTTCTGTACCTTGGTCTCCACCAACGACCATAACTTTGCTCTGTCTCTCAAGCAACATGGGTCTTGCAGAGGAAGAGGAACGGCTGGAGCTACTTTGCTTCAATGCAGGGCCTTCTTTGGAAGGTGTCGTTTGCTCAGAGTCACTGTCGGCGTGTACTCACTCTGCGAGTGACGCGCTGTGGTGGCAGTCAAGTTCATCTCCTTGTAATCACCTTGAAGGCCCTTGGAAGCGTCACTGCCCACGATCTGTTTGCTGCTGCAGAGCTTCGTTTTTAAGAGTGGTAACACTTCATCCTTGCTCTCAGACGGTCCTGGTGCGCCTTTCTTGGTGATCCGTTTTTGCAACGGCAGAGCTGCTTTCTGACCACTAGTTCTATGCTTCAGCAACAAGAAACGGCCTGCGTGGATCATGGAGGCTGGCTTTTTGGAGGCGGCTTTTCCAGATCGCACTGCCGGCTTCTTGCGCAGAGAAACCTCCTGAATAAAGGAGATAGCCGGATCCGAGGCACGGGTACAAACGTCAATGTGGGCATCCAAAAGAAAGGGGTCTGCCGTAAAAAAGACCACCAAAGGCACCTCAAACCGGCCAAAAGCAACAACAGAACCAACGACAAACACAAACAAACTTCGAACGTCGACCCCGTCATGTCCTGTAAGCCAAGGAAAGCGAGTAGTCTAGTGAACGAATGGTCACTGAGCGAACGAATGGTCACCGAGTCGACAAATCAACGTCAAAGTCGATGTACGCGAGTAGTAGCACGGACGAAACTGACCCCACCCCCCCTTCCCACGGATCGGGTATATATATGTTGCCGGCGGGGCTAACCCCCCCCGTTGGCCCAATGTTGATGCGCATTGTGGATGACTCCGGCAGTTTCCACTTCTGATTGATCTGTTTTCTGCCGGGACGGGTTCGGAGCGTTATTTTCGGTTGTTCACCCGGTTTCACCCAGGATCCTCCAGCCTTGATGGTATGGAAGCCGAGAAAGCGCGCGGAGCCGCGGCTGGGGACCCTAGTAAGTCGGTCCTAGCCACCCTAAGCCTGAGGATGATCATGCTCTACTGGTAGCTTCTTGTTCCTAGTAGCGATGGCCTCCAAGCTATTTGCGATGGCCTCCACCGAAAAACGCGTCCTTCCTACTAGCATGCAAAGATGCGGATCAGATTCAGAAAAACCACGACATGTCTGAAAGAAAAACAAATGCCGCAAAAACTTGTTCTGTGCCCGTGATCACCGTTTCACACTCCACTGTGCGGGGGGGTTGGACCGTCACAGGCAAGTACAGGGCCGGGCTCCGAAAGCTGGATGCTGAGACGGCAATGGACTGCGTTCATCGCTCTGAGTTTTCAGTCGAGTTGTGTGGACCCAATTTTTTTAACGGCAGGAGGAATGGCTAGGAACTTAAGTAGCTGCTAACTACTGGACGCAGGATAGCTCGTTCTTCTTCAAGGAAACTGCCCCCGCCGCCCTTCCTTGAAGAAACCCTCGCACTAATGATTTGGTTCGTAGATTGAACTAATAGTTCCAAAGGCTTGCATTTTTGAATTAATCATTAGTGCGAACGTGAGCTATCCTGCGTCCTAGCTAGCAGCGTCCTAGTAGCTAGGAGCAAACTTCTCCCTTACTGAATTAAGTAGGCGCCTACTTGATTAAGTAGTAGGGGGGCAGAGTGGGCTAAACATAAAGTTGCGAATGCAAAGATCGCATTCGCCGTGGCAATCGTTGGCTGTTCCCCCGTGTGACATCGACCAGGCGGTTCCGAGACGGATTCCGAGGGCTCAGCTTGGGACCTCAGTTTGTTCTGGCTTCTCTGCTCGTTGTGGGAGATGAACAGACCCGTCAAGGCAGAGAATGGTTTTTTTGAGACCCAACCGTGACCCAACGATCCCGGTCCCTCAAATCAGTCGCTTTGCATCGCCTTTTTGTGGTGAAAACCAGCCCGAACCCCAGATCTCTGCTCCGAACAGCTGAATGGGTGGGTCATGACCGTTATAACCCACGACTGCGCAAGGCTGAAGGGCTTGATGTCCTTGGCATGGAAGAAGATCCCGAAGAGGTGAGGAAGTATGGAGAATGAATGAGAAAGAGGGTGAGGTGTGCCTCCTGTGCACTCGGTCTTGAATGAGCCTCAGGCCAGTGATGATGAAGCTGAGGAAGGTGAGAGGATGAAGGACTTCAGACATTTTCAAAAAAGAATGTTTTGTTTGCACCTGTGCCAGTAGCAGTTGACATGTCTCCTTCCTAGGTCCTAGGCGTGGTCGCATTTCCTGATTCATTGAGCAAAGCAATTGATTGAACAATATTGAACTGCATCTCTCGTGTTGAGGATTACTTTTCTGAGCTAGATGACCAACTAGAGACCATCTTGGATGGGGAGCTGGCTGCCGAGAGCGCAGAGGCGGTTAGAACCTGTTAGAACTAGAGACGTCAACGCTGGACCGACATGAGAAACACTCTCCACCCACTGTTGGCACATTGAAACCGCCACAAGCTGCAACCAAACATTGAATATGGTTGAATGCCCCACCTGAGAGTACTCCAGGCAGACACAGCTGCGGGTAAGACAGGAATGCCCCTGAGCTCCCGACATGTCAAGGCTTGGCCTGTTCACCTTCAGTTGGCATTGAGATCATTTCTATGTCACTCTATTGATCTTGGAACTGATGCGGACATGGTCTAGAGTCTAGTATTCATGTGGCTGCGGGTGTTTGGTTTGCTTCTGTGGCCTATTCTTGCTTGCGGTTGTGGGTTCAATGGAATGTGATCGGTCAAGCCGTTCCACCTGCAGGTTCATGACTCTGATGCGCTGGAGCTTGACATGCATGCCATGGAGCATGTTGCTCTCCTGCATTGTGAGCAGCGGATTCTCGCAACATGTTAAAGTCGTTACTATATATATATATATATTTATCTTTTAAGACCACGTTGCAGTCTCCAAAGCACGTTGCAGGTTTTGGCCTCCTTCTGCTCTGAGCATCAACTGGAGTAGGTTGACCCAGCTCCGGAGACGGCCTTTAGACGAAGTGTGAAGGTTGAGTAAGCAGGTTGCCACTTCCACTAACACCAACATTTTGCAAATGCTCTAGTAAGTCCAAGCCGAATCCATCATGTCTTCAAGGACATACTAGATTAAATAGATTATATAGATATTGAATTTTTATGCAGCACTCCGGGCACTCCGAATTGTTCAGATCCATTCTTAGTAGTTAAGTTTCCCTAAACAGCTAGGAACTAGGAACCAAATGAATAGCGCGAGCGCTTCTTCAAGGAAGCTCCCCTGCGGGGGTCCTGCGTCCATATGTAGTAGCTTACCTGTATGTAGGTACCAGCTACCTCAGTTCCTTACTTAATTAAGTAGGCGCCTACTTAATTAAGTTAAGTGGCGGGGGGGAGAGAAAACAGAGTTCTGGATTAGGATTGCTCAACTCTAAGGCCAGGGCCTGCCTCCTTGCTCTTGGGCGAGCTTGGTTTGGCTGGAGGCTTGAGGGCTTTTCATGAAGTTGCGTGCATTCAAACTCCATTTGGAGGAGAATTCAACAACAGGCGTTTCACATCAGATTCGTTGGTAAATTCAACTATTATACTCCCTTTGGGATCATGCAGAAGCATATCTTCCATCTCCAGGTTCAGGCTGTTTGGACGACATGGACTAGCCAGCTGAAGCTCCGGTGGCAACCACACGACATCAGCGGCGCTCTTGTCAAAACTGTCGTCCTCACCTGTGGTCGTGCTGCCTTGCTGCATCATGCTTTTGCTGAGAACTGCTTTGAAACTGCTTCGTTTTTGGATAGGATTTATAACCTGCTTGCAAGCAACTTCAAGTTGGACCCACAGATCCCTGAGAGTTTGCACGGCTTCGCGGCATGGAGACACGATCAGACTTTGATTGCTCAAAACCATAGAGGCTTTAAGAATGATCAACCTCAAAAAACAAGTAAACAGACAACAACAAACAAGCTCTCCCGCACAACAAAACGTCGTCCTTCAACCAAAGATCGGAGACCACATGGCGTTTTTAGAATTTAGAACAGCGTGTGACGAGAGTGACGACGGAGTCTCAAAGCGTGACAATAGAGCGGCTTTGTGACATGGATGTGGAGGATTGGAAGGTTCCTCCTGAACATCCTGACCATCCTACAAAGCTTGGTGCCTTTGATGAATCTTTAGACCAATTGGATGCTTCAATCTCATCGATCTCACTACCAGATGTTGAGCTTCGAACGGGTGTGGACCGGGTGGCTGCGGCCATCACGGCCATGACAGCACTGGATCCCGAGAGCCTCCGCGGACTGCGGGTGAGTCGCTTCTTGAGACAGGCGCCGTGGCACTGGTGGCGCGGAGAGTTGTGGACGTTGTACCGCTTCACGGAAGCGGTGGACACCTTAGAGGAGTTCTGGTCCCACAGCTGGCGACTCGCTGCATGGAGCAAATATGTGTCTCGGTGAAAAACACATGAACGAGTTAAGAACTCTGGGATGCATCCTTCGTCCTTCGTCCTTGGGGAGGATTCGTTGAAAAGAGTATACAGTATGCCCAATGCATTCCTTGTGGTGTTTGCTGAAGGTTTTGATCTAAGAGACAGGCCACAAAGGTCTTGGAAGGGATGATTGCCAATCTATCCCTTCGGTAAGGCCACACACTCCACAAATGAAGATGTCAAGTTTGCGTCCACTTTTTGTTCCAAATGGTTGCAATACGTGAAAGAAAGCAGAGGCCACAGAGTCCCATTTTTTTTGAAATTTATTTCATGTTGGCAGGTGAGGTTTACCCATATTATATATATATATGTGATTTCTTATTTGTCTAACGGAGCTGTTGCTTCAAGCGGCTATCAGCTCCTTGAGTGGGATCCCACAAGAACGATCCAACTGGTAGGAACAATTGATCGTCTTGACTTGACCACCAGGTGAATGTGCTCTTTCTGAAACATGCCATACCAGCATCTTTGATGAGCCTACTATGTGCCGCGGTGGCCTATGTTCTTTTCCTCATGGAACTTCTGCCTGAGTGGACTCAGGGTCCTTACCGTTGCAGTTGGTGTTCTTTTTCTGCAGCAGGAGCCTATGTTTTGACAATGTTGCTCAGCTGTCGGCAAGCGCGTGTCTTCCTTGACATCGCTTGCATCAATCAAAAAGATGCCCGGTTGAAGGCTCTTGGTCTTCTCAGCTTGGGTGCGATGTTGAAGAGATCGAAGTCTTTATTGGTGCTTTGGGATGCAACTTTCACTACAAGATTATGGTGCGTTTTTGAATTTGGCGCCTTCCTGCACAGCCATTCAGGTACAAAGCCCAGGCTCACAGTTGTCCCACCCCTGCAAGGGGCTGTGTGCTTGGGGTGCGGGTGCCTTCTAGCGACAATGGTAATTGCAGCGCATTGGGGGGAAGACATGGTGGAGGTCAAATCCACGATTGGGATTTCTGTCGCCGTGCCATCCTGTGTTCTTTTGACACATATGTTGCGAATATATTGGCGCAGCATCGATGTCATGAGACAACAAGCTTCCAGTTTCTGCTTTGAAGAGGCCAAATGTGTTTGTTGTGAGCGAGATCATCCACAAGGCTTTTGCGACAAGGAAATCATCGCAAGGTGTATCGTCGCATGGTTTGGATCCATCCAACACTTTGAACATCGAGTGCAAGCGGAGATGGAGGTGGGGTTTGATCAAACCAGAAGATTTATTTCTGCAGTGGCAATCTAATTTTGAAAATCTGTTTGTCACAAAGAAACGACGAAAGCAGCACCCATTATAGCAAACATACACACAAACAATAACCAAACACAAAAAGATTCCTGTATACTTTGGACAAAGGCAACACAAAATCGACAAAAGTGCTACAAAAATGATCCACATGGCCTTGCAAGGACGAAACGAAAAGCACTGTCCGAGGTGCCACCGAATCATCAGGGCCCAAATGCTGGGCCCGAACGAAAAACCGAACGATGACCAGCCGCGAGGCCAACTGTATGTCGAGGCTCAGAGCCGTTCTGTTCCAAAGAGACACGGCCAACGCTAGTAGTAACAGGTGCCTTACTAGTAGAAACAATGTTTGCTATTAGAAACAAGTGCCACGCTACTAGTAAGAAAGACTGCAGGTACCAGGTCATCAGAGGTCATTGATCGAAGGTACCAGGAGATACACCGTGCCTCGTACGTTGCCTCAAGCCGCATCCCTATGGCTCGCTAGCCCTTTGGCTTGACTTGCTTGTCTATGCGTCGCTGCTTCTGCTGGGTTTGTGATTATTTGTCTTTGCTGAACTGAGCAATAGCCAAAACCTCCCTTGACACTCCGTTAAGTATCTATGTCATATCAATCTGTGGCGTAAGGACAACATCGTGTTGCGTAAGGTTGCGTAAGCTCCATGTTGAACACACTTGTTGCGTAAGGTTTGCGTAAGTACTGTTCTTTACAAGAACATGAAGAACACCATGTATCGCTGCGTAATCAATTTTTTTGGGGAACCTTTCGGAATCACAATTGTGTCATGGCGTAAGCTTTGCGTAAGACTTTTGTTAACCAAGGCCTCGCGTAAGCTAAAACTGTGGTTGCGTAAGCAACGCGCAAGCACCAGCGTAAGAACTTGATACGATATAGAGGTTTAATCATACGTATTGTTGTTTTAAGATGTTGTAAGTTCTTCACGGGAAGCTGTTCTGCATTTGTCCTTCAAGCTGTGTCTTGGTTGCACACCTTTGTTCTTTCTGTGTTCGCTTCTGGGAGTATATAATTCTTTGTACTGTGGCTCAGTATACACATACATATATATATATACACGCACACACACACACACACACTTTTTTGCTTTATTCCTGCTTTGCTTTTGGCAAGAAATTGTCTGTGTTTCTCCCATCGCTTTTCCACATCGCCTCTTTTTGCTTTCTATTTGCCAAACAACATAAACCTAAGGCCTTGCTGTATCGTGCAATATTCTTTCTTCTCAGCAGGGGTGGGTCAGGGTTTGGGCACTGACTGAAGGTGACTTTGGCGCAGCAACTTGCAAATGCAGCCTTTTCATACGATCGAATGGTGCAGGCAGTGATTCCTTGGATCTGGTTGCAAATGGATGTAAGCGCCAGTCATTCTGGAGACTGGACCGTGTGGACGCGTTGGGTTGAATTGAGCAGAGCATTGACCATTGTGTTTGGAATTCTTCCTTGCATCATGAAGTTTCTATGTCACCTTACTTTCATTCTGCGAGCCCAACATTGCAGGATGTGGGTTGATGTGCTGTTGTCACTGGTGATTTTTGTCCCTGTACCTGTCCTGTTCAGTGGGGCAATCACCTTGGAAGAATATATCGTGTGGTTTCTGATTGACCATCCATATGGACCTGTGTATGGAAGCTTGCTATCCTTGACGATGTGGAGCACTATCACTTTGCTATTGTGGAATTGCCTTCCGATGCTAAATTTAACAGGTGGAGCGCCACCAACTGACGCCGATCAGGAACGATCTTGATTGCAAATTTTAAGATTCTGTGTTGGTGCGTCCAACAACATTCACAATATTTTTTCTTAATCACGAAAGGTAGCCCTTTAGGGGATACCTTGAGTTTGTCTTGCGAAACAAGTGTTGGGATGTCCGGATCTAATAATTGATCACTCAATTCAAACCCCCCCCACCCCCCCCACCCGCAAGAGGGAAGAACACGCCCTATGTATCGAAGATTATTTTTGTACTTCTCTTTATAAATTTCGGTATTCCAAATTTATAAATATAAAAATTATTTAAATAAATTTATAAATATAAACACTATTTAAGTAATTTATATTTGCGGAATTCCATGGCAATTGAATTTATAAATATTATAAATATAAATATTTTAAAATTAAAAATATTTATAATGTTTATAAAATTTAATGAAATTTATAAACATTATAAATATAATAAATATTTGGTATTTCCGGGATTTCGTAATAATTAAATTTGTAAATATTATAAATATTTGCTATTTTTAGGATTTCGTGGCAATTAAATTTATAGAAAATTTATAAATATTATAAATATTATAAATATTTGTTACTTCTAGGATTCCGTAGCAATTAAAAATATTTATAATCTTTATAATATTTTTTAGGAGACCCGAAATTTATAAATATTATAAATTTTATACATATTTGGTAGTTTTAGGATTTCGTGATAAATATTATAAATATTATAAATTTTATAAATAATAATAAAATTTATAATATTTATAATATTTATAAATTTGGAGGTCCGAAATTTATAAATATTATAAATATTTGGCATTCTCGGGATTCCGTGGTAATTAGTATTTATAATATTTATAAATTTGGAGGCTCGAAATTTATAAATATTATAAATATTTGGTATTTCTAGGATCCCGTAGTAATTAAATATATAAATATTATAAATATTATAAATGTTATAAATATTTATAACATTTATAATATTTATAAATTTGGAGGCTCGAAATTTATAGATATTTATAATATTTAAAATTTAATTGTTATTGGATCCTGGAAGTGTCAAATATTTAAAATATTTATAATATTTATAAATTTCGGGCCTCCAAATTTATAAATATTATACATATTATAAATATTTGGCACTTTTAGGATCTTGTGGCAATTAAATCCATACATATTATAAATATTATAATTTTTATAAATATTAATATTCATAATATTTATAAATTTAATTGTTACAGGATCCTGGAAGTGCCAAATATTTGTAATATTGATAATATTTATAATATTTATAAATTTAATTGGTACGGGATCTTGGAAGTGCCAAATATTTATATTATTTATAATATTTAGAAATTTCGGGCCTTTAAATTTATAAATATTATATATATTATAAATATTTATAATATTTATAAATTTAATTGTTACGGGATCCCGGGAATGCCAAATATTTAATATATCTATATATTTAATTGCTACGGATCCCCGGGAATGCCAAATATTTATAGAATGTAATTAATTTCCATGGGATCCCGGACATGTTAAATATATATAATATTTATAATATTTATCAATTTCTATTGCCACAGGATTCCGGCATTGCTAAATATTTATAAGTCTTATGTGACACAGGATGTCCGGAAAAAGACTTTTTTGTTTACAAGGACAAACATATCTGTTTAATAAATCATGCAGGTTTTTTTGGGGGGGCGTTTAGTTTTTCTGCCCGATTATTTTTGTTGAGCTGTCGTTCTACTTCAGGCAGACGTTTTTCCTGAGCGGATGTTATTCCCTAAGCAGGTGTTCTCCCCCTGAGCGGGCGTTCTTCCCCTAAGCGGGCGTCCTTACCCTGAGCGGGCTTTCCCCCTTGAGCGGGCGTTCTCCCTTGAGCGGGCGGTCTTCCCCTGAGCGGGCGTTCTCCCCTGAGCGGGCGTTCTCCCCTGAGCGGGCGTTCTCCCCTGCGCGGGCGGTTTTCCCCTAAGCGGGTGTTCTTCCCCTGAGCGGGCGTTCTCCCCTGAGCGGGTGTTCTTCCCCTGAGTGGGCGTTCTCCCCTGAGCGGGTGTTCTTCCCCTGAGCGGGCGTTCTCCCCTGCGCGGGCGGTTTTCCCCTAAGCGGGTGTTCTTCCCCTGAGCGGGCGTTCTCCCCTGAGCGGGTGTTCTTCCCCTGAGGCATTCTCCCCTGAGCGGGCGGTTTTCTCCTGAGCGAGCGTTCTTCCCCTGAGCGGGTTTTCTCCCCTGAGCGGGCGTTCTTCCCCTAAGCGGGCGTTCCCCCCTGAGTGGGCGTTCTTCTCCTCAGCGGGCTTTCTCCCCCGGAGCGTGCGTTTTCCACCTGAGTGGGAGAGCGGGCTTTCTACGTGCAAGCAAGTATGTTGTTCCTCTCATTGGGTGAGCGGATCCCTTGAGCACACGTTTTCTGCCCTAAACATTTATTAGATTGACGATCATGGATTGAACTCCCGCCCAGCTGTTGGGTGAACGTGTCATTTTCCAAAAATTATCTGGCCGATACACATCCAGACAGGCACGCTGCTTGATATATAAATTTCCGATGATCAGCCCCCTACTCAGGCTACAGTAGGATAAGACTTCTACAGACAAGACATCTAAAACTATCTGCAAGCTTTTGCGATTCCTGGGCTCCAATGTGGCTGAGAGGTTCACCACAAAAAGCATAGGGTTTGGGTCTTTGAACAGAGACAGCCGCCGAAAGTCAAACTGATATTTCACAATGTGACTCTTCAGTAGGATAACCGTCATTTGATTTGTATACCAGGCAGATTTTTCGCCACCGCAGAAAATGCTTTTGAACAGCTCTGTTCGTCGTCGTACCAAAGAACCTGCTATACCGCGTCGCCATGCTGCTTCTCATCGGCAAGCGTGTCCTTTGGAGCTCGTCTACTGGGCAGACCTTGGCTTTGAGGGTTTGCACCCAGAGGTGGGATGGCTTTTGCCAACTCGCTTCCAGCACCTCAGCCGAAGAAAGCATGTAGGAGCGCAAGAATAATCGCAACGTATCATAAAACTTAACAGTTTGAGCCTACCACTCTTTTTGATTGAGTGTTGCTCGTATCCCGTGCGTAACTTCAAGGGATAACTTAGTCGACTCGAAATGATAAACTTGTGAGAGGTGAAACGAATTGAAATATCGCTACTAGGGTGGACGCCATCGCTTCTAGGTTGGAGGCCATCGCTACTAGGGTGGAGGCCATCGCTAGCAACTGCGCAGATGTGGGAGAAGCGGGCGCTCTGAGAAATGAGCGTTTTGACCTGCTCAGGTGAGGCCGAATGGAGACCAGAAAATGCATGGATGTCGCGAAAGAGTTTCTCAGCGACTTGCTTTGCAGGTGTCTAGGTCAGCTTCTCATTGAAGCGGTTCAATCAGCTTGGTAAATAAGTTTTGCAGATGTAATAAGCCTTAATAAGCCTACAATTGTGAAGCTGTGCGCAGGGAACCACTGGTAGACATGAAAAGATTATTTTAGCAAAATAACTGCTAAGTGAATTAGAGAGAGAAACAGCACCATCAAAAGTCTAGTAAACCTCATATGTGTGCTGAAGATGTTTGAACTGAGAGTTTGTTGGTGGCAACTTGGCAAGAATTTTCTGCTTCGTCACTAGAGTCTAGACTCTAGACTCCACTACACTGTAGTCACTAGTCACTAGACTCTAGACGCACTGTCATTTCCAAGTCTGGGTTCGAGGACGTCTTAGCCAAGCAGGAGGCAGCTGGCCCTCAGTCCACGTAATTATGAACTGCTGCTTCCTCCCTGTCATCCGCTGGTTCAGAACCAGCGTCCATTGCAGGCGGTGTGCTTCGGGCTCATGGTTATGCCCGGTTATGCCATATAGCCTATCTCCATTGTTCAACCCATGTTTGTCGGGTCAACAAGTCACGGTTCAGTAAACTAGTCACTAGTCACTGGTCACACTCCGCTGCCTGCCTATTCTATTCTATTGTGTGAGGGTTTCAGAGTCGCTATTTGTTTTCTCTATTTTGGATGTTCTGCTATGTGCAATTTTTTGCTATTTTTCGAGGAAATAGCAAAAAATAGCAAATCCATCAGCAGGTGGGAAATATTAGTGGAACACAACAGTGAGAGACATAGAGCAGGGCAGGGAAACTGCAAATAGTTAGAGCGGGCCTATAAGCTAGTTAGCTGCTAGCTACTTACTAGCTAGGACCTAGGACCGAGGACTTATAGGGCCACCGAGAGACAGGAAGCTGGGATACATCAGGGCCATGCAAAGAAACCATCGTTCAATTAAACGACTTAGTGACTGTCGCAACTGTCTCAGGGCTCCCCGCTCCCTCGCTCCCCCTCTCTCTCTCTCTCTCGTGCGGACTCGAAAAGGGAATACGTGATGCGGTTCCAGGCGACCTTGGGAAGGCGCCTGCAACCGGAGTCTGCCTGCTCTCTCTCTCTCTCTCTCTCTGGCATCTCAGGATATCTCAGGACTTGTCTCAGACTGCTTTCCGCACCCTAATCTATTTCACTATGTGAAGCACTATAGATTCCCAGGTGCTTCCCCCCTCTCTAAATAAATCAGCAACATTTTTGCTAAATAGTTAAACCATGATTTTCAATGGTTGGCTAAAACCAGACTTCACAAGCCTACAAGTTTGTTGTATCAAAACCTCCGACGAAGGTAGCGTCAATCCAGTGAAGACTAGAAGTATGTGAACATGAGAAAACCTCTCAGAAGGAGGAGGCTATCGCAGTAAATGTGTTGGTGTGTTGTCGATGGCGTCTGTAGTTTGTAGTGATACAAGCGCGCGTGCAGACACACAAGTGCACATACACAGAAACAAGAGAAAATATTTGTGTGATGCATAGGCTCTGGCCTGCTGCAAGAGCGCGCCTGCCTATTTCATAAACCCCGATCACTCACCACTAGCTTGACTACAATAGTTGAGGCTGCTGGGGATTCCTGCAGTCAGCGGCCAATGAAGACGCTGCGTGCACCTATCACGTTTCAACTGTTGACAAGCTGTCTACTGGGCCCTTGCTTGTGTCTAGCTGCGTTTTCTCAGTTCGGTCACAAAGAGTCCTGACGGTGTGCGCGCCTGTTCTCTCAGAAGTTGAAAACCATTACACCGGCAATCCTGAGCCCAATGCGTCAACGATCACATACTTCGACGCAGCGCG